GAATAGCCAAAGTAATCCTGAGAAAGAAGAATAAAGTGGGGGGGATCTCACTCCCCAACTTCAAGCTCTACTACAAAGCCACAGTAATCAAGACAATTTGGTACTGGCACAAGAACAGAGCCACAGACCAGTGGAACAGATTAGAGACTCCAGACATTAACCCAAACATAAATGATCAATTAATATTCAATAATGGAGCCATGGACAAACAATGGGGAAATGACAGTCTCTTCAACAGATGGTGCTGGCAGAACTGAACACTGTCTAACCCCATACACAAAAGTAGACTCAAAATGGATCAAAGACTTGAATGTAAGTCATGAAACAATAAAAGTTAGAAAAAAAAATAGGCAAAAATCTCTTGGACATAAACATGAGTGACTTCTTCATGAACGTATCTCCCCAGGCAAGGAAAACAAAAGCAAAAATGAACAAGTGGGACTATATCAAGCTGAAAAGCTTCTGTACAGCAAAGGACACCATGAACAGAACAAAAAGGTACCCTAAAGTATGGAAGAATATATTCATAAATGACAGATCTGATAAAGGCTTGACATCCAAAATATATAAAGAGCTCATGCACCTCAATAAACAAAAAGCAAATAATCCAATTAAAACAATGGGTAGAGAAGCTGAACAGACAGATCTCCAAAAAAGAAATTCAGATGGCCAATAGACATATGAAAAGATGCTCCACCTTGCTAATCATCAGAGAAATGCAAATTAAAACCACAATGAGATATCACCTCACACCAGTAAGGATGGCTACCATCCAAAAGACAGACAAAAACAAATGTTGGCGAGGTTGTGGATAAAGGGGAACCCTCCTACACTGCTGGTAGGAATGTCAATTAGTTCAACCATTGTGGAAAGCAGTATGGAGGTTCCTCAAAATTTTCAAAATAGACTTACCAATTTACCCAGGAATTCCACTTCTAGGAATTTACCCTAAGAATGCAGCACTCCAGTTTGAAAAAGACAGATGCACCCCTATGTTTATCGCAGCACTATTTACAATAGCCAAGAAATGGAAGCAACCTAAGTGTCTATCAGTAGATGAATGGATAAAGAAGATGTGGTACATATACACAATGGAATATTATTCAGCCATAAGAAGAAAACGAATCCTACCATTTACAACAACATGGATGGAGCTAGAGGGTATTATGCTCAGTGAAATAAGCCAAGCAGAGAAAGACAGGTACCAAATGATTTCACTCATCTGTGGAGTGTAAGAACAAAAGAAAAACTGAAGGAACAGAACAGCAGCAGAATCACAGAACCCAAGAATGGACTAACAGTTACCAAAGGGAAAGACACTGGGGAGAATGGGAGGTTAGGGAGGGATAAGGGCAGGGAAGAAGAAAGAGGGTATTATGATTAGCATGTATAATGTGGGGGGTGGGGGAAAGGGGAGGGCTGTGCAACACAGAGAAGACAAGTAGTGATTCTACAACATCTTACTATGCTGATGGACAGTGACTGTAATGGGGTTTGTGGGGGGGACTTTGGGTAGGGGAAAGCCTAGTAAACATAATGTTCTTCATGTAATTGTAGATTAATCATAACAAAATTAAAAATTAAAAAATTAAAAATAAATAAAATAAATAAATAAAAAGTCAAAGACAAGAAATGCTTCACATTCTGAACCAGTGGATAGAGGTGCAGTGGCCACTGCATCATGGCTACTTCAGATCCATGGCCAGTCCTCACCCAAAGAGAGTCTCTGCCCATCGCCACTAGGGTAGCAGGCGATACCAACGTCTTCCCGATGGCTGCAGTCATGCCTCCCCCACTGTCTCCGGGAACACTGAAGGACACTGGTTTCCTTGCCTGAGCAGCAGACATCATCCAACCATATGGGCCCCACGCTTTCCTCAAAGTGGCTTGCAGAGGCTTGTCTGCCATACCTGTGGCAATAAAGTAAGCATCGTCCATACAACTGCTGTCTCTTGTTTCAAAGAACCGAAAACATAAAATAAACCTAATTAGGTGTCGTGACCTCAGAGGATAAGTATTTTCTTTCTCTTAAGGACTCACTTCTAAGTGCAGTGTTTGCTCCATCAACATTTTGATCATCTTAACCAGTCTGTGATTGATTCAATGGGTAACTTATGAAGAATTAATCTTTTCTTCCCCATTCATTCTTGCATTTGTCTGCAGTATAATCCACCAACCAGAGAGAATGCACACAGTGATAAACCTCAAGTTCCTGACCATGGCAACAATACCACAAACCAGAAAGTGAGAATGCCTGTCTTGTCTCAGCCTCCAAGGAGTCCTCTGAGATCATTTGATTTCATCAGCTTCTCCTGGAGTCTTTGATATCCTCTCCGAAACAAAAATGTGTATTAGCTCAGTAATTCCTCCATCACTAGACCAAATCCATGATGAAACTTGGACTTTAGCCCATCAAAATCAGGATAATGATAATGTTCTTAGTTTTTCATAAAGTGACACAAGTTGGATGTTTAAATTTTTATAAATTATATTTGTGCCCCAATTAACTTTATTTGTAACCTTGCCTTCCAAAAAAAATTTTTGATGTATTATAATAAGCATATCTGCTATAGAAATTAGAAAGATCTTCAAAATAAAAAATTGGTAAATTAATCTGTACTTTGATTCATCCTTCCCCCAATTTTGTTTCTCTTTCAAATCCAAACCTCCAGAAATCGCTAGCTAAAAGATACTTCATGTATCTTTCAGTTCTAAGAGTGTGTGCAATTCAAATCTTTTAAGTTTTATGTCAATCACTTCCCTTACTGGAAGTTTTCATTATTTTTTGTACTAAGAATATGAGAGATCTTTCTACCTGGCTTGAATTTTCCTGATTTTTTTCCTACATGCACTTATTATTTAGTTCATTTAACAAAGTGAAAATTCTAATGAATTAAAACAATGAAACTTTTAAATTAATCATCACTCTAAGACTTCTATTTTGCTGACTCATCAAGTCTGAGCTAGAAAAGTACTGTATTACTATTGCTTGCAATTTATACCATTTTTCCACAAAATGCATCAATCTGATTATCAATCCGTATCAACTACGTAACAGATAACAGTAGAACATTTTACTTTGGGATCTCATTTACACAACGAAACCCAGAGTTGACAGGTTTTTCTCATTCCAAAGGTATTTTATTCTTTCAGAAATTCCTCTGTAAACTAAAAATAAATATAGCACAGCTCTATTCTACCTTCTACACAGAACAATTTAGAACTTTTAACAAATATTATTGAGAATATTTTTAGAACCATAAAGATCTGATACTACGCATATGCAGGAAAAAATAAATGTATTTGTGAAACAAATAAAATATGGAAAAAATCAGTGTCACTCAACTGCCTTCATTAATAAGGCAAAATATGAAAATGCTAAATAGTATGTATAAATCTTTCTAAATCTATGAAACAAGACACAATTCTTAGCTTAACAAAGATTCACTTAAAATGAAATGGTATTTACTAATTCTCATTCATTAAATATCAATAATTATTTGTCTGGTATGTCAGCCCCTTGACCTGATAATTATAATAACTGCACTGTTCATGAAAATTCAAAACATTGGGCAATAATGCATTTCTATCTTCATAGCATTATTATTTATAACAGGAAAAATTAAACTAAAATAGCAAATGAATTATGGCAGGAACATTCCATGGATATTACATTAATATTAAAAATTACTTATTACAGATCTGTTATAAAGTTATATACACAATTATAATAATGATGGTATAAGAATGGGAAAATTATGCATAGTCTTTTATTCTCTTTATTTTCCAAATCATCTCTAATATTTTCTATTACTTTTATAAATTAAAAAGTATATGTCTAAACAGTCATACCTAGCTTGAATGAAAATGTTTTTAAAGTTTAATGAGTGTTTTAAAATTAGTTCCATCTCAAGTTGAAATGAAATAATTTTGCCAATTATTTCAAGCATGAGATCATTACTTCAAGCATGACATAGAAATACAGAAAATAAGAAAGAAGGGGCATTCATGGGCTTCATTCAAATATTAACTCAAAGGCATCAATTGCAGTTACTTCACTTAACTTAAGTCTTTATTCTGGAATGCATTATATGTGTGACATGAAATATATCACCCAAAGCATTAGATACTCAGCTTTTAAGAGAGTGATGTCAAGGGTGAGTTTCAAAGGTCATCCCATGACAAGAAGGCTGTTTTTCTCAAATAAAAATGATAATTATCACCACATTCTAAGAAAGAGAATAATGTAACACCAAAGCATCTGACACTGGACTTCCCTGCAATTTTAGACACAATGATGTCAGAACTGACAACATCCAATAGTAGTGATGCATCAGAGTAAAACTGAGCATTCAAAGCATACAATCTTACTTCAATAGACACAAAGGGCCTAAAAGTCACCCATGGCTCTAACCAATTACTCAGAAGAGGAGTGGTGGCAGGAAAGGTAAATGAGATAAATAGCAAGATACAGTTAGTCATTATCATAAAATATTATTGATTTTTAATGGTTATTTTTGTACTTCCATACATAGGTAAATAGGTAAGTAGGTAGACAGGTAACGAGATGATAGAAAATATGTATTTTTAGTATTATAGAAATTACAAAGATTACAAAATGACACTTTTAAAAATGTAATTTGATATTTAGCTGTCTCATATCAATGGTCTTACTTAAACCCCAGCTGCTGGCAAACCACGTATGTATTCAGCACAGTCCAACCATCATCACAGACAGTTCCCCACTGCCCGCCATAATACACCTCCAGGCGACCCTCGTGGCGGCCATCACCACCTGCAAGTCTGATGACCCCATCTGTGACAAGAAGGAGACACAGAGACTAAGCAAGTCAATTATCAGAACAAGATGGAACAACATTTTAATTTCACTAGAAATATCAACCCATCCAGGTCTCTCTCTTGGTCTTTTGTTAATCTTAGTTTATGACTATGTCAATGATCTCAGATCATCAGATTGTGTCTTAAATACAGCACCACACTTAAAAACAGTCTTTGTTTTTCATTTCTACTCCTATTTTCTGAGTAGAAAAATATCTTCTGACATAATTCCAAAGAAGATACTTAGATTTTTACTAATTAAATAATATTTGGAAAATTTCCTATGGCTTTAATTTCTTTTAAGTATGAGAAATATCAGCCATTTAAATTTAAAAAGTAGGAAAACAGCAACCTGGAAATAGCTCAAAATTTGAACTGCAAATGAAAAAATACTGAAATACAAAGAGAGAAAAAGCTTTTCTGGTTAAATAATGATCTATCATGTCCATTCACTTATTATTCCTTAGGCATTTATAACTTATAAAAACTGGGATACCTTTCTTGACTTTGTTCCTTTACTGATAATACAGATATGAACTTGGATCTTATGAATTCAATGAATAATTAATTCCGAGAATCCTGTAAAAAGCTCCTAAGCAGATATACAATAAAACAAATTATCCCACAAAAAGTAGATTTAAAAGCCATTTCCAACCAAAAAGCCCAAAGAGCCCCAAATTAAACACAATCTTAGAGATTCATGTATCTCTAGGATCTTTTAAAGTAAATTAAGTTCTCAGCAACACAATCACTTACTAATGTAATATTTACTGTCTGAAAAACCGCCTTACACTATTATTACCTTATATTTGACAACAACACTATAAGGTTAACCTCATTTTAAAGAAGACTAAAAGGAAACTGAAGAAGATGAAGTGTTCTACCTTGAAAGATGGTGTAAATTTTGTATTTGTATAACTTTATAAAAATTTTTCCACAGTTTGTAAAAGTTGTAAAATTTTCTATTTGTATAAATGTGCTATTCTGCTAATAAAACAAGTGTTCATAGAACAATGTATATGAAAAGCTGTAGCTTCAATATTTCATAAGCCCTAAGAAGTTTTTCTTTTGATTTTAAAAAAAAAGATTAGAGGAGGAGCCAAGATGGCAGCATGAGTAGGGCAGCGGTAATCTCCTCCCAAAACCGTATATATTTTTAAAAACACAACAAATACAAGTATTCCTAAAAGAGAGACCAGAGGATACAGTACAACAACCAGGCTACATACACATCTGCGAGAATCCAGCATCTCACGAAGGTGGTAAGATACAAGCCGCGGCCCGGCAGGACCCAAGTGCTCCCCCAACCCCAGCTCATTGGCCGGAGGAAAGAAGTCGGAGCATGGAGGGAGTGGAAGCACAGGACTGCTAAACAACCAGTTCTAGTAATCCGCATTGAGAGTGCAGACACACATCACATGGTGTGCTAGATATTAGGTAAACAGAAAAGTAAAATCTGAGAGCAGGCCCCCTGCAGCCGGCTCCCCTGGGACCAAAAAAAAAAAGCAAGTGCTTTTTGAAAGTCTTAAAGGGACAGGGGCCTCAGAGCTGGATGGAATCGTCCCAGCACACTCAGTCCAGCAGGCTGGGAATCCTGAGGAACTTCAGTCGCCCCAGCCCCCTGGGTGGCAATGAAGCCCTGAAGACCATCACGGCAATAAGCAGCCTGCCATTCATTCCCCCGGCGCAGCCCAACCACAGCGGCCGAGCAGCCGGAGTGCAGCCGCACCCACAGCAGCTGCCGAAAGTCTCCTCTGAGCACACAGCCACCTGGGCCAGAACCAGAAGTTGCTGTCAGTGCACAACTGCCCGGCACAGGCAGAGGAAGCTGGGGCAACGTGCAAAGGGGCTCTGTTCTCGCAGGAGAGTACACCCATTGCACCTGCCACTACCTGCAGGGCTCTGGGCTGCCCTGCACATGACAGCTCAGGGGATTAACGGAGAGGTGGCACCCAGTGTGTGGGTAACTGATACATGCAGAGGAGAAGGGAAGGCGACCAGCAACAAGGAAGAGACTTTGTTTTCCCAGCTGATAAATGCGCCACCTGCCTACAACTACCTCTATCACCATGAAAAGGCAGAAGAATTTGGTCCAGTCCAGAATTACTCAGACAACCCATGACAGAGGGCCTGGGGAGATAGATATAAAAAATCTTCCTGAAAAAGAATTCAAAATAAAGGTCATAACCATGCTGATGAACCTGCAGAGAAATATGCAAGAGGTAAGTGTTCAAGTCAGGAGGGAGAATAAAGAAATAAAACAAATCTCTGGAAGGATTTAAGAGCAGACTGGATGAGGTACAAGTGACGGTTAATGGAATAGAAATCAGAAAACAGGAATACAGAGAATCTGAGGCAGAAAGGGATAAAAGTATCTCCAGGAATGAAAGAATATTAAGAGAACTGTGTGACCAATCCAAATGGAAAAATATTCACATTATATGGGTACCAGAAGAGGAAGAGGGAGAAAAAGGGACAGAAAGTGTCTTTGAAGAAATAATTGCTGACAACTTCCCAAAACTGGGGGAGGAAATAGTCTCTCAGACCATGGAAGCCCACAATCTCCCAACGCAACGGACCCAAAGAGGACAAAACCAAGACATACAATAATTAAAATGGAAAAGATCAAAGACAAGGACACAGTATTAAAGGCAGCCAAAGGTCACCTACAAAGGAAAACCCATCAGGCTATCATCAGACTTCTCAACAGAAACCTTATAGGCCATAAGAGAATGGCATGACATATTTAATGCAATGAAACAGAAGGGCCTTGAACCTAGAATACTGTATCCAGCACAATTCTCACTTAAATATGAAGGAAGGATTAAACAATTACCAGACAAGCAAAAGTGGAGGGAATTTGCCCCACACAAATCACCTCTACAGGATATTTTATAGGGACTGCTCTAGATGGGAGCATTCCTAAGGCTAAATAGATGTCACGAGAGAAAATAAAATCACACCAAAGAAAGCAGAGCAAACAAATACTAAATAAAGGAAAAATAAATAAAATCAACTATTCACAAAACCAAAGAAAACACAAGAGTACAGAATAAACACCTAACATATAAAGAATGGAAGAGGAGAAGGATTAAGAAGCGAGAAAAAATAAAGAACCATCAGACTGTGTTTATGATAGCTTAATAAGCGAGTTAAGTTAGACTAAACTTTACATAGTAAAGAAGCTACCCTTGAACCTTTGGTAACCAAAATCTAAAGCCTACAAATGGCAATAAGTACATATCTTTCAATAATCACCTTAAATGTGAATGGACTGAATGCACCAATCAAAAGACACAGAGTAAGAGAATGGATAAAAAAGCAAGACCCATCTATATGCTGCTTACAAGAGACTAACCTCAAACCCAAAGAGATACACGGACTTAAAAGCCAAGGGATGGAAAAAGAAATTTCATGCAATCATTGGAGAGAAAAAAGCAGATGTTGCAGTACTGGTATCAGACAAAATAGACTTCAAAACAAAGAAAGTAATATGAGATAAAGAAAGACATTACATAATGATAAAGGGGTCAGTCCAATAAGAGGATATAACCATTATAAATATATATGCACAAAACACAGGAGCACTAGCACATGAGAAACAATTACTAACAGAATTAAAGGAGGAAATAGAATGCAATGCATTCGTTTTAGGAGACTTCAAGACACCACTCCCTCCAAAGGACAGATCCACCAGACTGAAAATAAGGACACAGAGGCACTGAACAACATACTAGAACAGAGGGAACTAACACATATCTACGGAACACTACACCCAAAACAGCAGGATACACATTCTTCTCAAGGGCACATGGAACATTTTCCAGAATAGATGACAAACTAGACCACAAAAAGAGCCTCAGTAAATTCAAAATGATTTTCTGAAATTCTATGAACCAACTTCTCAGACCACAAATGGATAAAACTAGAACTAAATTGTACAAAGAAAACAAAAAGGTCACAAACACATGGAGGCTTAACAACATGCTCCTAAATAATCAATAGATCAATGACCAAATTAAAATAGAGATCAAGTGATATATGGAGACAAATGACAACTGCAGCACAAAGCCCCATCTTCTGTGGGACCCAGCGAAGGCAGTTCTAAGAGGAAAGTATATAGTAGTCCAGGCCTATTTAAAGAAGGAAGAACAATTCCAAATGAATAGTCTAAAGTCACAACTATTGAAACTGGAAAAAGAAGAACAAATGAGGCTCAAAGTCAGCAGAAGGAGGGACATAATAAAGATCAGAGAAGAAATAAATAAAATTGAGAAGAACAGAACAATACAAAAAAATCAATGAAAACCAAGAGCTGGTTCTTTGAGAAAATAAACAAAATAGATAAGCCCTTAGCCAGACTTATTAAGAGAAAAAGAGAATCTATACACATCAACAGAATCAGAAATGGGAAAGGAAAAATCACGATGGAACCCACAGAAATACAAAGACTTATTAGAGAATACTACGGAAATCTATACGCTAACAAACTGGATAATGTAGAAGAAATGGACAACTTTCTATAGAAAAATACAACCTTCCAAGACAGACAAAGGAAGAAACAGAAAATCTAAGCAGACCAATAACCAGCAATGAAATTGAATCAGTAATAAAAAAACAACCCAAGAACAAAACCACCGGGCCAGATCGATTCACCGCTGAATTTTATCAGACATATAGAGAAGACATAATACCAATTCTCCTTAAAGTTTTCCAAAAACTGGAAGAGGAGGGAATACTCCCAAACTGATTCTATGAAGCCAGCATCACTCTAATACCAAAACTAGGCAACACCACCAAAAAAGAAAATTACAGGCCAATATGCATGATGAACATAGATGTAAAAATACTCAACAAAATATTAGCAAACCAAATTAAAAGATACATCAAGAGGATCATAAACCACTATCAAGTGGGATTCATCTTAGGGATGCAAGGATGGTACAACATTTGGAAATCCATCAACATCATCCACAACATCAACAAAAAGGACAAAAACCACATGATCATCTCCCTACATGCTGAAAAAGCATTTGACAAAATTCAACATCCATTCATGATAATAACTCTCAACAAAATAGGTATAGAGGGCAAGTACCTCAACATAATAAAGGCCATATATGAAAAACCCACCCACAGCCAATATCATAATTAACAGCGAGAGGCTGAAAGCTTTTCCTCTAAGATTAGGAATAAGACAGGGATGCCCACTCTCCCCACTGTTATTCAACATAGTACTGGAGGTCCTAGCCATGGCAATCAGGTAAAACAAAGATATACAAGGCATCCAGATTGGTAAAGAAGAAGTCAAACTGTCACTATTTGCAGATGACATGACATTGTAAATAAAAAACCCTAAAGACTCCACACCAAAACTACTAGAACTAATATCGGAATTCACCAAAGTTGCAGGATACAAAATTAATACACAGAAATCTGTTGCATTCCTTCACACTAATAATGAACTAGCAGAAAGAGAAATCAGGAAAACAATTCCATTCTCAATTGCATCAAAAAGAATAAAATACCTAGGAATAAACCTAACCAAGGAAGTGAAAGACCTATACCCTGAAAACTACAAGACACTCTTAAGAGAAACTATAGAGGACACTAACAAATGGAAACTCTTGCCATGCACTTGGCTAGGAAGAATTAATAAAGTCAAAATGGCCATCCTACCCAAAGCAATGTACAAATTCAATGCAATCCCTATCAAATTACCAACAGCATTCTTCAATGAACTGGAACAAATAGTTCCAAAATTCATATGGATACACCAAAGACCCCAAATAGCAATCCTGAGAAGGAAGAATAAAGTGGGAGGATCTCACTCCCCAACTTCAAGCTGTACTACAAAGCCACAGAAATCAAGACAACAATTTGGTACTGGCACAAGAACAGACCCACAGACCAGTGGAACAGAAGAGAGAGCCCAGATATTAAAGCAAACATATATGGTCAACTAAAATACAATAAAGGAGCCATGGACATACAATGGGGAAATGACGGCCTCTTCAATAGCTGGTGTTGGCAAAACTGGACAGCTACATGTACATGTAAGAGAATGAAACTGGATCTTTGTCTAACCCCATACACAAAAGAAATTTGAAATGGATCAAAGACCTGAATGTAAGTCATGAAACCATAAAACTCTTAGAAGAAAACATAGGCAAAAATCTCTTGGACATAAACATGAGCAATTTCTTCATGAACATATCTCCCCAGGCAAGGGAAACAAAAGCAAAAATAAACAGATGGGACTATATCAAGCTGAAAAGCTTCTGTATAGCAAAGGACACCACCAATAGAACAAAAAGGCATCCTACAGTATGGGAGAATATATTCATAAATGACATATCCGATTAAGGGTTCACATCCAAAATATATAAAGAGCTCATGCACTTCAACAAACACATAGCAAATAAACCAATTAAAAAATGGGCAGAGGATCTAAACAGACACTTGTCCAAAGAAGAAATTCAGATGGCCAACAGGCATATGAAAAGATGCTCCATATCCCTAATTATCAGAGAAATGCAAATTAAAACCACAATGAGATATCACCTCACACCAGTTAGGATGGCCAACATCCAAAAGACAGACAACAACAAATGCTGAGAGGATGTGGAGAAAGGGGAACCCTCCTACACTGCTGGTGGGAATGTAAATTAGTTCAACCACTATGGAAAGCAGTACGGAGGTTCCTCAAACAGTTCAAAATAGAAATACCATTTGACTCAGGAATTCCACTTTTAGGAATTTACACTAAGAATGCAGCAGCGCAGTTTGAAAAAGACAGATGCACCCCTATGTTTATCGCAGCACTATTTACAATAGCCAAGAAATGGAAGCAACCTAAGTGTCCATCAGTAGATGAATGGATAAAGAAGAGGTGGTACATACACACAATGGAATATTATTCAGCCATAAGAAGAAAACAAATAGTACCATTTCAACATGGAGCTAGAGGGTATTATGCTCAGTGAAATAAGCCAGGTGGAGAAAGACAAGTATCAAATGATTTCACTTATCTGTGGAGTATAGGAACAAAGAAAAACTGAAGGAACAAAACAGCAGCAGACTCACAGAACCCAAGAATGGACTAACAGTTACCAAAGGGAAAGGGACTGGGGAGGATAGGTGGAAAGGGAGGGATAAGGGGGGTAAAAAAGAAAGGGGGCATTATGATTAGCATGTATAACATGTGGGTCGAGGCACAGGGAGGGCTGTACAACACAGAGAAGACAGGTAGTGATTCTACAGCATCTTACTACACTGATCGACAGTGACTGTAATGGGGTATGTGGGGGGGGCTTGGCAATGGGGGGAGTCTAGTTAACATAATGTTCCTCATGTAATTGTAGATTAATGATACCAAAATAAAATAAATAAATAGGTAGATAAGTAAATAAATAAATTAATAAGAAAGATTAAAACCCCAAATTTCTTTCAAGTTCTTTTTAGTATAGAAACAATGGATGTGCTGTTCCAACTTCTCTTGCCTGCCCATTTCCCTCTACTTCCCCCCAAACAGGTAAGTACATACACACACACTCATTGTACTCAGACATACCCTTGTTATTAATACACTTGACACATCTCGACAAGCATGCTGTGATTTGGAATGGTCTAAAAATCGAGGACAGCAAAGTTAACTTGCTTCTTGCTTTAACCAACAATCCCATCAATACAGTTTTATCAGCTACAAGCACATCCTGAGAGTCAAGACAGACTAACGCATTAATGAACTAACATATAATTATATATAATACCTAGTACTTGAAAGTTATCACTGCACACTGATTTTTATTATTGGGTACTATATATTGCAACAAAAGTATATTTTTTATCTACCTTTACAGGACTGTATAGTCCTAAATTGAAAAACTCAGAAATATATGTGACAGAGGAGGTAGCATATTTGGGGGGGTATCATTAATGTACAATTACATGAGCGACATTATGGTTGCTAGACTCCCCCCATCATCATGTCCCCAGCACGTATCCCAGTACAGTCACTGCCCATCAGCGTAGTAAGGTGCTATAGAATCATTACTTGTATTCTCTGTAATACTGCCTTCCCCGTGCCCCCGCCACCACATTATGTGTGCTAATCGTAAAGGAGGTAGCATTTTAATACAGAATTTGTGTTACTTTTTTTTTAGTTTTATTTGGGGGATTTGTGTGCTCATTTACTAATATTATCTAAATTGAGGAGAAGGGAAGTAAGTCCAAATGGCGCTGGGGGCAAAAGTTGGAGGATTAATATGGTGAGATTATTACCTGTTAGAGGGGTATAGGACACTGCAGCATCTTCCTTGTGGTCACAGTTATGCTCTCCCCAGGAACTCTTTGAACATTGCTCAATAGAAAGCTCATTCCCAGTGCAACGTACTTCATCCAACATCACTGGACCAGATCCTTCCCCAAAATATGCCTGATTCCATGCTTTGGCAATGCCACTAAACAAATATAAGACCGTAAGAATTCCGGATTAGACACCAAACATTGGTTTGGCTTATGTCTTTTGCCCCTGGCAAGGATATATTATGACTGATACATACTTTCCCTTAAAAATTCATTCCATAGTAGATATGACCTGCTGTATTTTGTTTGTTTGTTTGCTGCTCTTTCTATTTTGGCCATCATGAATGTTTCAAAGCCTGCTAGTTATCCCCCAATATTTACTCTCCTTTTCTTCATTAGTACTGGAACCTCAGATTTTTAGGAGGGCAATGGCTATCCGGAAGAAAGACCACATTTCCCAGTCTCCTCTCCTTACAGATGACAGCATTTGTTTGTTTTAAAATCTATGTAACAGGTTCCTGTTGGCGGCCTTGAGAATCCAATATGGAGAAGAGAGATGGGGCTCGGACGGGGGGCCCTGCACCGCCCCCCAGGCGCACCTCTCCCGGCCGCCCACCGCTACCGAGGACCGTGACTGGCCCGACCCCCCGGGGGGCGACCTGGGACCGAGCCCTGAAGCGCGGCCGGCGCTCTCCTCCTCCTCTCGGTCCTCGCCCCTCCACGCCACGCCTGTTCTCCTCGCCCCCCACCGCCGTCTCCGGCCCAAATCTCTCCCCCTCCACGCTCCTGAGCCCCCGGAGCCCCTGCCCGCCTAGTCCCTCGGCGCTGCGGCGCCCACTCCCTCGCAGTCTGCCTTTGCACCCCTGCCCCCAAACCTCACCCAGCGCTCCGGTCGCCCAGCTTCCCTTTCAGCCTCTGCGGCGCCCCCTTCATCTGTAGCCGCCCCGCCATCCCAGCCAAAGGAGGCGATCTCCGGAGATGTGAAGAAGGGGGAGGTGAGCAGACAGGAAGATGAAGGGAGCAGAGCTGCCCGCCAGAGGGGCAGGCGTCTAGGTGAACAGGAAAATGACAGAAGAAACACACCCAGACGAATATATTCCCTGTCGTCCATTCGTAAATGCTTAAAGATTAATCATCAGGGGTCCGTCCCTCCTAGAACTGCAAGAACTGGGGTACTCAGACTTGGTGTGGGGGATATCCCTTCATCCAGAGCATGAACAGAGCTGCATACTCTTTCTAGAATCCCTTAACAAGTTCTTCAAGTTGTTTTTAGCAAAAGTTCTTGGTGAATGCCAGGAGGCCCAAGAGATCTATCATTTACAAAGAAACAGAAATGCCAGCACTTGGTATGTCATGTCTGACAGCTGGCATTCTGCGCCTTCCAGACAAGTCAGTCTTGTACAGAAAGCCTGCTGCCCTGGGAAGCAAGCAAACTCAGCCCTAGAAGAAATCACAGGAAGTAATTAAACAGAGAAGGAAGGCGATCAAAGACTTAAGGTCCCTACCCTACTCCCTAGCATTTAGTCACTCCATCCGAAGTCTTGAACTGATGCCACCACCCAGCAGTTCCCAAACAACTGGCTGAAAACACATAAGCACGGCAAGGGTTTATGAACCAAATACATAATGTCACCCACACATATCTGTTACTCTCTCGCAGTGTGTGTAGCTCATTTATAGAATAATAAAAACACAACCTAATTAAAACACTACCGAATTCAAAAAGTTAATGAATAAAAAGAAAATAAAATGTATGTAACATAAAATTTACCACTTCAACAATTTTTAAGTGCACAGCTCAGTTCCACTAAGTACATTCACACTGTTGTGCAGCCATCACCACCATCATCTCCAGAACTTTCTAATCATCTCAAGTGAAATTCTGTACCCACTTAGGATGACTAAGTTTCGCACAAATGGTATTTTGGTAGAAGTGTCCCATATCACTTCCAGGAATTATCCTTGTTTCACTTCTTCCTTCCTGCTGACTGCATGGCAGAGGTGATAGTTGGAGTTTGAGAAGCTGTCTTAGTCTGTAAGGTGCCATACTAAGAATGACAGAACCACAAGCAAGAAGCAAGAAAGAGCCTGGGGCCCTGATGACCTCAGAACCACCATACTAGCCTTGAGCTGGCTACCTCTGGTCTCTCTTGAGAGAAATAAACTCTTGTCTTGCTTGTGCCATTATTTTCAGTTCTCTTTTACTCAGTGCCAAACATGTTTCTAACGAAAACATCACTTCACTCAAATTTATTTGTACTAAATTTCCTTCTCCCATAATTCTGATACCACATTCTGTAACTCCAGATCTCAGTAAAGATCATGATTGCCTGTCAAAATGGTTATGACTTCAGAAATTGCATTTTCAGCCCCATTTAGCCTTTTAATTTTTAGATGAGGGCATTTATATTTTAGTTTGTTTTTCAATGTTTCTGCATATATTACCCATTATTTTAGTTATCCTTTTCTCGAAACATTATAACTATCTTGAGAATTTACAACCAAAATATAATAAAGAAAAGTTTGCTAAATGGTTACATTACGCCAGTAATGGAAAAGTCTTGGAAAGTCAACTTTGTGGTTAAAGATTAGTAGGTTTGACTAATTTATTACATACTACAGAAGTTTCCTTTAAGAGAACACATGTCAAAAAAAGAAACACAAAGAAACAAACCCCAACACTTCTGAGAGTTGAACAATCAAATACCATTAAAGCAAATATTAATTCTATTATCACTTAACTTGTTTTCTGTTAAAAAGTCAGAGAGTGTGCTAATGGGGAGATAAAGGAATGTTTACAGCAGGAGGTGTGAGGGAAGCTGAGACAAAATATGTTGCTTATGCTGGATGTTTTGGTGGAATTAAAATTTTTTAATTTAGAATCCTAACACTTGAATCACTATGTTATTTGTCATGTAGTGAACTCTGAGAAGTCTGCCCCAACAAATACTGAAGACTAATACCCAGAGTGAATCAGACAAATGTGAAAGAATAAATTAAAAGGAATCCTAACATAAATGACATTGTCATAGGACATAATTTTTGAGTGAATTTGTTTTTTTTTGCTAAAGTAAACATAATGAAGAACAGATAGCCACTTCAACTCTTCTGGAAAGAAGGAATAAGAGCTCAACTAATAGGACTTCTTTAAAATAAAATTTTCAGTTGTTTCAGTATTCTGTGCATGCACACAGAGGAGTGTAATAGACACATGTAAATGTTCATATGTTAGTGACCATGTCAATGAATTTATTCTTCCCACACTAAATTTAAAGAAGAAAATGAAATGTGCCAACAGACCCTGGAGTTCAAATCTGGGTTTACTTGAACCAGCTGGGCTTCCTTGAGTAAATTACTAAAACTTTCTCGGCCTAATATGCATGTTTTGAACATAGGAATCAGAACTGCTCCCTTTCAGGGCTGTAAGAATCAAACTGATACAAAGTAGGAACTCAAAAAATGTTGGTTTTCCTTTCCCTCTCTGGCGCTCTTAAGAAGCTTCCCCCTAAAGGCTGATGAATAACATAAATTTGCTGTGCAATTTATCTAAAAAATATTTGGTATTCAGTGTAAACAAAGATCACAGTTTCTGTTTTCCCCATTCCCCAAAAGGTAGGTTTAGGTGAGTGGTGAGGAAGACAGGATCAATTAAAATTTGAATATTTTCTGGCTTTAATGTTGTAAATATGTTTTATTTATTTGGTTTAAAGTAGTTTTTAAAAGGATATACTTCTGGAAGTAATTAGTAGCCTAAAAGACAGTTGATAAATCTATGTGTTGTTTTTTATTAAGGATTATAAAATAATGACCCAAAAGATCATTAAACTATGACTTGCATCACTGAACTCGGGATTCTTATGGCAGAAACATAGATAATCAGAGGCAAACAACTTCAAGAGTTTTAGTACATAAGGTATTTTACCAAAAAACACTGTATTGGCCAAAACACAACTTTTTTTCTATAGATAGCATTTATGCTCCCAGAAAAATATTTCTTATACCAAAAAGATCTTGCAATAGTCGTCTGTAAGGCTGTAAAGAAATGAAAATGTTTTCAAAGTTACTCACAGTGGAATAGATATACCCTTCCAGAAAAAAAAATCTTAATATTTACACTTAAATTGGGCAAGGAAACAGTGTAACACCCACTGAAAATAAACTCCAAAGTCATGTATTGATCATAAGTTAGTCCCAGAATTTGGAGCATTTGAATAAACTGAAATGTGTCATTTCAAACATGTTAACGTTTATACAAATGCTGGCTCAAAGAAGAAGGGAACTGCTTGGAATTCTGTGCATGAGACACGTGGTTCCTCTTTTAAAAGGGAAAACCCAGGATGGGAGCAAAGAAGCCCAGCTAGTGGCTCTAGAGCAGAGATCAGCAAACTACAATCCAAGGGCAGAATTCAGCACACCACCTGCTTTTACGTGAACTGTAAGCTAAGACTGGTTTTACATTTTATAAATGGTTGGGGAAAAAATCAGAATAGGAATACAGTTTTGGACATGTGAAAATCAAATTTCACTGTCCATAAGTAAGGTTTTGTTGGAACAAAGCTGCACTCATTCCCAACTTTTGCCTGTGGCTGTTCTTGAACTACACAGACACAGTTGGGCTATTGCAAAGCCCAAAATAGTTGCTATCTGGCCCTTCACAGGAAAAGTTTGTTGACCTTTGCCCAGAGGAAAGAGATTAATGAAAGCAAATATGGAAAGTGATTTAGAGAACACTGCAAGTTGGAGAACAGAGGAGGAGAAGACAGGATGACTGACGCAGGTCATGGAGAAGCCAGACAGGAAAGCTTCGGGAGAAAAACAGATTAACAGCCTCGGTGGATCTTTGTCCTGCGATAAAGTCTAGATAAGATCTACTAAAGAAAATGTCAGTGGGTACAATTCATTGAGCCAGGATTGGGTGCTCTAAGAAAACCAGGACCAATCTGGAAGAATATAAAATTTGATCCCAAACGCATAACGGAAACAAAAAACAAACTCCAGATGGTTCAAAGACATACTTATTAGGAAGAAAGAAAGAGAGAGTGGTGGGGGCAGGAGGCAGAAGAATGGAGGAAGGAGTGGAGGAAGGGAAGGAAGGAGGTGTGGAGGGAGGGAGGGAGGGAGGGAGGGAGGGGAGAGGAGGAAGGAGACAGAGAAA